GCAGCTGTTCCAGGGAGTCTCTCATTGGTGAACTGAGGCCACGAAAGTGATCTCTATCTCATTGACTCTTGGCATCAAGAGATTCCTTCCCAGGGCTGCAAGCAGATTGTTTTATGCCCTTTGCCAAAGTGAGCGAAGCACATTTTTCAGGGAATTCCTGCAGGCAAAGCGAGGAATGCTGCCTACTTTTGAGTCAGCAAATGGAGTAACTGTGCACAGAGTTGCCTAGCTGCTGTCAGCATTTTGATCGGTGATTTTTTTTTCTTACTTATGTAATTGTTCCCATTGTTTAGTATTCATCTGCGCTGGCACTGGGTGCTAACTGCAGCTAGCTTCTCCCCAGGAGAGTCTGAGCCCAGGGACCCAGCCCCAAAATGGGGCTGGCTACTTTCCTTCAGCTAATATAGGAGAAAAATAGTTATTGTGGCCCATCCTTTTCCATGGGATTAGCCCATCATTTGACAGGACACAGGGGTGCCTGAAAGAGATGGGAGCTGGCAATGCCAGAGGAGCTGTGCACCTCCCCTGAGCATTTGGCTCTTCCCAGACCTGGGCAGGGAACATGTTTGGGCTTACCTGATCTAAGCAGAAGCAAACTCAAGCCGTTGTCTTGCTTCTTGGTGGGCTCTGCTAGACCAAGAGACAGAAGGTAGGTCTTGTTCCCCTTTGTGCTTTGTCTTGCTGTCTGGTTTGCCCACGTTGGACCAGAGCTTGGGTTAAAAAACTTGAACAAGATTTCTGCGAGATACCTCTGTTTCTTGCCTCCCCCCTCCTCCATCCCATGTAACTCCAGCCTTTATTGCAACTCACCTTGTTCCTAGCAGACCTGGAGGCTTGAGTTGCAGCTTACGTCTAAGATGTGCTCTACGGTAGCTTAGGAAGTAGCACCTTTTCCATTTCCTTTCAGTGCTCTCTTGTACTCAGCCCTGTCCTTGTTTCAGTTTCACTCTTGTTTCAGTTTCTCTCTGGTTTTGTAGTGAGCAGCTGTGGGACTACTGTTCCTGGCTGTTCTCTGGACTTTGGAGCACTTGTTTTTTCTTTACTTTCCCATGTTGTCAGCTCTCTGATTTCTGCTGTCTTTCCAGCACCACGCTACTTTTCCTTTCCTGCTTTTTTTTCGTGTCAAACTAGGAGCTTTGCTTTTCCCTGGAATGTTCCAGTTGCCCCATTTAAAAAGGCATAGCAGAAAAACCAGTCTTAGATCAGTGGAGACTGAAAAGATTGAACCATTTTCAGAGTAGAGAATGACAAATGAAGGAGAAATTTCATATGAAATAGTTAAAGTATTGGAGTAGAAATGACAAACTGCGCCAGGCTGTGCTAGGAGAACACAGGTGTTCAGTAACACTCACAACTAATCAAAAGATACTTTTCATGCAAATAATGATTCACCAGTAAACTTTCTGCCACCAGACATCTCCAAACCCAAGAACTGTATCAAATCTAAACCCTTTTGAGGTTTGTGAATATAAAATGCACTAATAGGTCTGTTAAGCTACCCTGACAGGTCTGTTACACTATAGATTATTATTTTACAAAGTTCAACCCAAACTCAGAGCAAGCGGGACAGGGAAAGCTTCAGTTTTGTGTTACTCTGTATTATTTGTGAGACAGAGGCTGAAACTGCTCCCTGCTGCCAGAAGAAAAAAAAAAAAAAAGCAAGCTCCATTATTATCTGTCTGTGAGTGAATTTGTGCACACCTATGCCCTGGGAGTGTGGTTATTTCTAATTGTAGCTTTGATGCTTTTCTTTCCTGTCTGCCAGGTTTGGTCACTGGCCATGGTAGCCACTGATCTCTGTCTTGGACCAAAGTCTGACCCAGATTTGGAGATACCTTGGGCACAACATCCATTTGGACGTCAATTACTGGAGTCCTTGTAGGTGTTTGAATGCCGGGAAGGGGTTGGGGAATGGTTGCTGAAGCAGAACCCTCCATAACTATGTACGTTGTAAGGCATCATTTCAGATTTGGAGTGGTGTCACGGTGTGTGGTTTTGTTTTTTTTTTTTTTTCCCCCATCAAGCCTGAGATACGTCAAGAAGGGAAGCTGCAAGTGTGTTGATGACGTATAGGAGGCAGCATTTGACCTCCCGTCTCGCACCCAGCTCTTCCTTGGCTAACATTGAGCAATAGGCCAGGTGCACTTCGAGCTCTGCTTTCCAGCATGTCTGCAATGCCTGACTCGGAGATTTTGGGTTTCTGCTCCTCACCTCCAAAATGAGCGTGTTGGTGCAGCTGCTTTTTTCATCTTCAAATTCACCATTGCCATATAGCGTTACTGTGAAATGATTCCACTGGTCTCAAAAGTGTTAGCTGCAAATGTCTTCCTGCCAGTGAATCTGTTCAGGAGGGGACATAATGAGTAATTAATCTGTCAATATACCCTATTTGGAGGCACAGGATTTGTGTGGTATACTTTACATACTGTTGCTTGACCTAGCTCTTTCCTGCTGTGTGGCAGTGATGGGAGGGGAGCACAGGTTGTTCTTCATCGCTCTCAGTCTTCAGAGCAAACCAGAAACTTCATAGCTATCCAAAAAAACGGTGGTGGGGTTTTGCCTCGTGATCTAGATGCAGGATGCTTGCACGTAGAGAGTTTTGTCAAAAGACATTGTGGCTGGGGGTGAGTCTAATGGCTCCACCTTTACATCCAGTTAAAATCAGTTCTGTGGATGTTTTTCCTGAAGTTGCACGCACTTGGGATAAATAGGGTATGAGTACTGCTGGATTCCTAGAGCTCCCATCTTTCTCCCACCTGTTAGACCATGAGTATTTTCAGAAGAAGGACTTCATTCCTCAAAGGTGTGATGGAAAAGACAACCCGGTCCTGCAGAGTGCACAAGCTTTGTGTGGGCAATATCAATTTATGCAACAGGCTCAGAATTAGTTGCCCTGGAGTCTTGATGTTTTTGACACTGAATTCTGCCCACTCTCATACTGTCTGTCTTTCTCCTTTCCCAGGCTGGCTCATTACTCACAGCTCCATGATGTGCAGACCCTGGCCATGCTCTGCAGCGTGTTTGAAGCCCAATCCAGGCTACAAGGGTGCCCAAACTCCTATGGCCCCTTTCCTCAACGTGCCTCCAACCTGGCCTCCCACAGCCGATATGTACGATCACTGTTTCTTTCCCATTTATCTTGGATACCTTTTGAACGTCTCTCACGTAGATGACATGATTTCTTCTCCTTCCTCCCCCTCAACAGCCCAGCTTTACTTCCTCTGGCTCCTGTTCCAGTATGTCAGATCCCGGACTTGGCAGTGGAGGCTGGAGCATAGGTACTGAGACCTGGGTGGTAAATAGAGGAATCTCCCTCCCTTCTGGCCTAGGTTTTAGATGGCTTTTGTGGTGGGGAAAGAAGGGAGTTAGTACTGGCTGCGATTGCAGATGTGCTCTGCCAGAGCAGCTTTCCGGGGTTTGGCCAGTGTGATGTGACTCCATGGCTGGAATTGAGCAGGGCTTGCAGTAACCGTGTCGATGCTCCCCGAGTCCTGCTCCTTCTGACTTCTGTAGCGTGCTGACCAACTGGGCTTTGGAGAAACTGTTACAAATGCCATAGAACATACCAAGCTAGGCCCCGGGATCACAAGTTAACCCAGAGCCAAGAGCTCCCACTGCTGCTTTTTTCCAGTTGGAGACAAGTAAAGAGACAGACCAGTTTGTACTGTTTTGCTTCCAGCCTGGCTATAGCAAGCACTCAGGGCGACTGCCTCACTGCTGCCTGGTGCCGTAAGCTTTCCACAGCCCTAGAGCTTTGCACAGTTTGAGGCTGTTATCCATGCCAGCTACTCCTGGTAATTTCCTTGTCCTTCATATGCCTGGACATGGTTCCCAGCTGCTCCATCACCTTCCCGGGGATCGAGGTCAGGCTAATGGCCTGCAGTTCCCTGGGTCCTCCTTCTTCTTCTTTTTGAAGACAGGAGTGACATTTGCTTTCCTCCAGTCCTCAGGCACCTCTCCCAATCACCACGATCATTCAACAGTTATTGAGAGTGACCTCGCAATGTCATCAGGCACCTAATTCCACAGGGTTCAGGGAGGAGGAAAAAGCAATGCTGTGCTTTCTTCTGTCACTGGAAAAACAACAGCAGTTGGGAAGGCTGGGGTCTTGGTGCCATGAATACCCATGGGCCTAAGGATGTTTTCTGCTGAGCTGCAAAGGTGTCAAAGACAAGTCACTCTTAAGGGCTCCGGTGTCAGAGTTGAAGCTGTTGGCTGATTCCTAGTGATATGCATGGCCTGGGGCAGCATCAGCCCTGTTAGCGCCAAAGCTGTAACTTTTCAGTGCGATATCAAGGCATCTGTGACATGGGGAAGAGTGGAGAACAGGGATTAATAGCGCTGATATTGTCTTACAGCAGTTATTAGCAGTCTTCTCCCTGCCTCTGGGGCATGACCTTACGTACAGAGGCCCCTTTACGTAACAGCAGCCCTGATGATGACAGTCCTCCCTGTCTAGGAAAGAGGAGCCCAGGGCTGCCCAGGATAATGTTCCCAAGGAAGCTCCATGGGATTGATTGCCTGGTTACTTTTTGTCTAAAGTGGAAGGCAGAAGGGATTCTTCCATGTTAGATTTCTCTGCCTGATGATTCCCCATTCCCATCCTATCGCCAGGAGTGCAGTAGAAGTTGGCAAGTAGAGGTTGGCACTTAGGTTTCTGAGGCAGGGCAGTGTTTGTAGGGATGTGGAAGGTGATACGATGCATGTCTCGGAGAGAAAACCGGGATATGCTAATGTGTGGTCTTCCATGTCTCCTTCCCCACCCCGTTTTTGACGATGTTGTGCTTGTGAATGCTGTGCTTTCTGAGGTACGCTCACAACCTTTTGATGCTTGCAGCAAACAAAGACACAGAGCAGGCCTCCACTCCCTGGTGCGAATCTTCTCCGGATGACTTCCGCTACGGAAACCTAATGTATCCCGATCATCGGGAGCGTGAGAAAGACCAGCATGAGAAAAACAAAAGGTAGATTATAGCGTGCCACGGGGGTATTTGGGGATGTGTGACTCTGTGCTGGAACTCTATAGCCAGGTCTCTGTTGGTGCTGTGAAGTTCCACACCGGCTCCTAGACCTCTTCGTTCAGATGAGTCAGTTGCAGAAGCTTCATACGGCAGATGAACTCTGCTGGGATTGCATATGGTACATCTACAAGTGGATGTGGTGGGGCCCCGGGTCGTAGTCCACCCATTCATCACACCCTGGAGGGTAGAACAAGCGAAGGCCAGACCAGTTAGCGTTCGGCAATGTTTCAGCAACACGTGGGAAGTAATCTGCTGCTCTTCTAGCGATGCGAGCTGGTTGCGTAGCTATCACCGGGAAGAGGATTGCAACCAGAGTCTCTGAGAGTCAATCAGGTGGATGACAACCTTCTTTGTTCTTCTAGGCTCCTGGATCCTGCCAACACTCAGCAATTTGATGACTTTAAGAAGTGCTATGGGGAAATCCTTTATCGCTGGGGCCTGCGAGAGAAGCGAGCTGAGGTTTTGAAGTTTGTCTCTTGTCCTCCTGATCCCCACAAAGGAATTGGTGAGTGCCTGCTTCGGTCTGCTCCGGCTGCCCAGGCAGAGTCACGGCTCTGCCTCAGGAGCTTGGGAAGATGCAGTCAGCAGGCGAGATGAAAAATGTCCATCGGTCTGCCCAGAGGTTAGCTGTGCCAGCAGATGGTTTTGGCTGCTTCACAGCTCTGGGTGGAGATGAGGCTTGCAGATGTTGGTCCAAGGGCTTTGTAGACTGTAACATCTCTCCAGCAAAGCTGGAAATGCTCATACTGCTACGCTAGCAAGGTTCAGCTATTTATGCTGGTGGCTATTCTTTATTCCCTCTGAATAAAAGCCCAGACAGGCACTGTCCTAATCTCTGATGCTGGGCTGAAGTAGCCTTATAGTGCATGCATAAAATTACAAGATCTCTAACTGTGGATGAATTAGCCAAGAAATAGGCAAATAGAACCTTTCTCCCAGAATATTTTCAGCAGCATAGCTGCCCAGAACTGCCACTGAAGGACAGCTGCCAAAATGTCTTCTTCCCTAGGCCCCTAGGAGGAGAGAAGCAGGTGAGAGATGTCAGAGAAGCAGCAGTTGCTTGCTTAACTCTTGTTACAGTCTCACCTGGTCACCAGGGACGACTCCTGGGACGTAACTGGGGTGAAAATTGGTCACTTTGTCCACTGCCGTTGTCCCTTCGTGACTAAGAGTCATAACGGTGATGACACACACGTTGAGTGTGCTCTGTGCTCTCTCCGTGATGAAAAACAAAGGCCGTTCTCATTTGCTCTTAGTTACACTTCATAGAGATGTGAGGCAGATGAGACCAGCAGGAAGCCTTCATCTCCGCAGCATGTATCAGTGTGTCCCCAGCTAGAAATCGGACACACGTTCCCAGCCGATGGCTGTTCAGCCGTCAGGGGAATTGGTGGGCCCCTCTGTGCCCCGGCACGCTGCTGCCCGTGTCTTTGCTCCTGTATGGAGACCAAACTGAGACCTCTCTGAGATACCGTTCTCCCAGCCTGAGGGAGATTTGCGGCACATCTCTTGGGCGATGGGTTCAGGGGACTCATCTGTCGAACAGAGGGCTGTATGCAGGGCTTCTTTGTCCACAATTCTGCCAGCACTAACTGTCTTGCTCTCCTGTTTTTTTCCATTGACCAGAGTTCGGTGTATACTGCAGCCACTGCCGCAGCGAGGTGCGTGGCACCCAGTGTGCCATCTGCAAGGGCTTCACCTTCCAGTGCGCTATCTGTCACGTGGCAGTGCGAGGCTCCTCTAATTTCTGCCTGACGTGCGGACACGGAGGCCACACCAGCCATATGATGGAGTGGTTTCGCACCCAGGAGGTGTGCCCCACGGGCTGTGGGTGCCACTGCCTGCTCGAGAGCACGTTCTGAGCAGTGGTGACAGCAGGACGGCCAAGAACTGGATTTAATATTTAATTCCCAAGCCATGTTGAATCAGCTCTGCTCCACAGTGTCTGGAGAAGATGCCACAGGGAGCTGAAGCAGGATGTCCTGGCAGCGCGCTGCGGTGACGTTTACAAGTGCTTCCAATATTCCTGTACTTCCCAGGTTGCTTTCAGACTGATTTGACCAAACTCCCTGTGTCCATTGCTGGCAATGGATGCCGGACCAGAAAAATTGCTCTCTCCTGCAGAAGGGTATGTGAATATTGGCTAGTCTCCGTTGGGATGAGGAGGTGTTAAAAAGCTCCTTTGGAGAGGGCTCGCCTGGCAGAGCCAAACTCGCTCCAGCTACATAGTGTCTTTCCAGGTGCCTCCTGACAGGGGTTCAAAGTGAGCAAGCCAGTCGTCTTTGCACAGTTAAAGCAGAAATAATTTGCAAGCGACAGTGAGCTCTAAAGGCAAACTGTGAACTGCGCTGGAAGAGCAAATAGTCCCTGGGACTGTGCTCAGAGTTACTTTGGGAAGCAACAGGGTTTACATCCTTTAGATTACCCCATAAAGCAAGAGAATGAAACTACATTTTTCAGGATTACTTCCTAAATAGCTTCCTACTCACTGGTCAGTACCTGTGGCTGGTGTGAAAAGCCCAGCCGTGCCCCCAAGGTCACTAGGATTAGTTTTTCTTTCTTCCAGCAGTTTTAGCACCATTACTCTTTCGGTGTCTCCACCTCCTCCTCTGACCGGGTGATACAATGCACTTTGACAAGGCAGGGACAGGCAAGTTAGTGACGCGTCCCGGTGACTGGGAAGGGCATCTGCCTTTTGAGTTTGGGGTCTGCGCAGTATTTCCATGGATGGTGGCATCTGAGGGTGTTTCAGAAAGCCTTTGCTTCCCTACTGAGAAAACACAAGGGAGAACGCTTGCTCCCTGCAATTCCTTTTGGCTGTTTTCACCAGGATCTACGGGAGAAATCAATGAATAATTTGAGATTTGCCGCTGGTGTGCTTGAGTGACGAGGCTCCTGAGCCAGGGAGGCAGCAATGTCTTGGGGAAAAGGGGTTTTGGAAGGGTGGTGGGATTCACGGAGGCAAAAGGTTTGTGCCTTTTCTCCCTGTGGAGCTTCAAATTGGAGAATGTACTGGATCGATCTGTCTGTTTGGGGCTGTGCCTGCTGGGTGTTCCCATCCCGGGGATGCTGCTGGGCCGTTGTGTTTGCACCCCGAGCATGCAGCCTCTGCCGCTCCTGAGCAGGCTGCAGCCTGAGCTTTGGTTTTGGGCAAATGTGTGGTCAGGGACGAGCCCGCTGGAGTTACCCCCTCGCCCCGCGCCAGTGCTGACCCCTTCCTCCCACACTTGCCTGCTGAGCAGGGCCCCGGGCCGTGCCCGCTCCCAACCTTTGTGCCGACTCGGGCTGTGGGATCCTGCTGTGGAATAAACAGATGGTGTATCTGAAAACATTAAAATTATTTTTTTAAGTGCTGTTCTGATAGAACTTAGTGTCGCTATGCTGGTTCTCCCTCTGTGGGGAGAAGCTCTCCCTCCCCACGCAGCGGTCAGCGTTGCACCCCGCAGCCCTCGCCCTGCACCCCAAAGCGGGGGTCCCACTGTGCTCGGTGGCAAGCAGAGACCTGCAGTAGCTGGGGGGCTCAGCGGCTGCTG